ATTCTGTACAAATCTAAGTTATTCAGACAATTGCTCACTTTGTTAGACCGTGATGTCAATAACTGACTTCTATAGCACATAGATCATATCTGCTTATCAGTCATTTAATGTGACTGTTGCGTGTTGTAACTAAATAAGGCAGAAAAATTTTTGAGATTCCTTTGGATATTTATTTGGTTCGCCACAAACTGATCATCCCCTGGCTTTTATTTGATGAATACCTAGTTACTAAAATCCCTGCAACTTGACCGTGGTAACGTCTGTGACTGCAGCACTGGGTGACGCGGATTCGAACCTCAGAAGGCACAAGAGTACCCTAAAGATTACGGATATGCCTTGCTGACTGGTGAATGCCAACTCTCACGAAACCTTGGTTTAGTCAAGGCTTCCTGCGGCCAATTGCCATCAACCATCTAATACCAGCAATTCACAAGGGAGTGCACCGTGATGGCGAGCCACCACCTAGCATGGTGGCCACATTGCAAGCTTGACTGGTAGAAATTCAGTCTGCACCGAAGATAGGACTAGACACATTACACTAGTTACTGACTAGTGTCAAATCAAAAATTTCTCTACCTATCAGTTCCTTAGCAGAAATTAATTTTATAAATTCACAAAAATCTCAGATGAATAAAATGAATGAAATATTGTGATGGTCGCTTAACTACTTAAATGTAATTAAGTAATACTCATCCTAAAAGCAAAATTCTCAAGTGATAGTTTGTATGGACGTGATTCGTTCCAAGTTTCATAGGCGATTTAATTAGAGACATTGTAAAGCAGGAAGTACTGAGTGGCTGTTTTCTCTTACTTTGAAACTCTTCATCAGCCTGCACTGATGACTTCTCCAGGGACCAAACTAATCACCTTCTCAGGTGAGAACTAGGAAATACATACCTAAAGAAAATGACTGACAGCTTCGGATTTTACAAGAGTTAAGTGAACGATTTCATTGTCTCTAACATTGAGGGGAATTTGGAGAAAAAATCTTGGAATTCTTCAAAAACTGCTATGCAGCAATTCAGTTCAGACTAGAGAAGGAATCCAACGCAAAAATTTATTTTCTGGACATTCACTTAACAAGACTTGAACAAGATGGAACACTAAAAAGATTCATCTATAGAAGTCGACATGGGACGGATGACTCACTAAGTTTCATAGTCGGGTGCCTTTATATACAAAACATAAAATTATCCGTCCTCTGGGCCATGGAATCTGCAACCCTGACACTATGGAAGAGGAGCTGGACATTCTGAAGAGAATCCTCATCGAAAATAATGATAATAATAATAATAATAAACAGCTTTATCCCAAACAGTATTTGTGGTACAGGTATGGAATTTTCAGCGTGCATTACAATATATTGCATCTAATTACCTCATAAATTTTATAAGATTTGAAAATCAAAAAGCAACACCCAAAAAAGAAGGTGAATAAAAAAAATACAAAAACAACAGCGTTGCGTTTAAGCATTTTAAGCAATACGCCACAGGATATGAAATATAAAATTGGTGTGTAATAGAAGATGAGAACAACAGTGTAATAGTAACGAGGAAAGGAAAGCAAAAACTAATGGGACTATTTGTTAGAGTGCCACTGTAAGTTGATCGTGTTGTACCTAACGGATTTCTGATCACATAAAAGCTGTGCCCAATATGGTATTGTGTAGTTTTGTACTTGGTAGTTCTAGAATATAGCCTCCTATAGCTGCTTCTAGTACTACCCAGAGCGTTTTATCATGGAATCCATGACATGAAAACCACTTAAACTGCCCACAATTTACTATATATATATACGATTGTACAGCATGAGAATGATATCGCCGAAGAGAGGGATAACGCTTCGCTGAACGTCTTTTCTTTCATAATGACCGACATCGGCTCACGATCACTTATTATTATTATTGTTTCCTTTAATTCCTAGGGGAACATTGGGTTTCAGCCGAACACCCGATTGCGTTTGGTTCTCCACCAAGTTTTCTACTTGGCTCCACATGCTTTCATCTCCTCTTCACATGACCTCCTCCATGTCACCCTCTTTCTGACGATCAGCTTGCCGCTATTCATTCTGGTTCCACTTGAGCAATGGTGTGGCGTTTTGCGTCACTCACTTGATGGTTTCTTTTCTCAGGGTATAGCCAAAATCCACTTCCATTTCTTCCCGAGGATTTCTCTCACATTTGGTTGCTGCTAGATTGGTTCGCTCATTACCAGATATCCCTGCTGATGATGATTCCGACCGGTCATCTAATCTTCAGTAGTATTGAGTGAAGTCAGCTGTTGATGAAAGTCTACAGTTCGAAGTTGATCGTAGTGCTCCTCGTGACCTAGCGTCAAGTCTGTGATCCATAAAGTAGCGCTGACTTCACACTGAAGTAGAAAATCCGGATAGTATTTTCATATTAATTGCTGAGTGCTGCTGACCTCCACACAGACTTGAGAGTAATGAAAGATTGACTCGCTTACCCGTTGCTTGATTAGATATACATATCAGTTCCGTCCGCCTGTAGTTGAAACGATGCTTCCTAGGTAAGTAGGTAGGTAGGTAGGTAGGTAGGTAGGTAGGTAGGTAGGTAGGTAGGTAGGTAGGTAGGTAGGTAGGTAGGTAGGTAGGTAGGTAGGTAGGTAGGTAGGTAGGTAGGTAGGTAGGTAGGTAGGTAGGTAGGTAGGTAGGTAGGTAGGTAGGTAGGTAGGTAGGTAGGTAGGTAGGTAGGTAGGTAGGTAGGTAGGTAGGTAGGTAGGTAGGTAGGTAGGTAGGTAGGTAGGTAGGTAGGTAGGTAGGTAGGTAGGTAGGTAGGTAGGTAGGTAGGTAGGTAGGTAGGTAGACGAATGAAGTAGCTTCTTTCAGTTTTCTCCTATTTATGCTGATTGTTTTCTGCTGTTGCTTTTGGCCAGGAATCTTCATCACCTCTGTTCTCTCGATGTTCACCTGATGTTCCATCTTCTCTGGATGCTTCTTCTGCCGCCATTTTGTTGCTTTTCACTTGCATATCTTCCAGTTTGTGCGTAATCAGACATATATCATCGGCGAAGTTCAGATCTTTCATGTGTTTCGTGGGTCGATTTTTTGCCTGTCTCCTCATTGACCACCGCTGTCTGTCGCATTATTCAGTCTACCGCCCTCAATCAGGAAGATCACAAGACATAGTAGGCAACCAGCTTGTCTTAATCCCGTCTTCACTTCTTCTAAGGATTCCCTGAGTTTTCTATCGTGGATAACTTGAGATGCAGAGTTGTCGTACAACTGTTGGATGAGAAGTATAATTGTTGGCTGCATCGCTCTCGATCAAACCTATAGTCAATCAGATCCGTGAAAACCAACACTTTGAAATTACCTAACAGCTATTACAGATACTGTAATTCATTCACTTTAACTCTGCCACCTTAAACATCATATTAATTATCTCTATTCTTATCACATGTATAGTGACCTATCAAATTTAAGTGCCATTTAATGACTGCTGTTTTGTAACTAGGTGGAGAGCTTAGAATGTGGTTTAACGAAAAACCACCATTGAAATATTGCATATAATGTCTCATATTCACTTTGTTTAAATTTAGTAAGATGTAACCTTGAGCAATGTTATTTACCCTGGCGGGTATTTAAAACTTTCGCAACCTGCCAATTCTCAGGTTTCTACTAAACATGTAAAAAAGCATTAACCTCGATGGCAGCGCTTATCCCGATGCATGAGATAACCGTCCCTGCATGGTGCCCCTAGTTCACGAAATGTACTACTGAACTTTTTATAATTGGTATTCAACGAAGTGTTGGGTATTTCTTGAAAGAGAAGATATCATAATTCTGGACTGGTTAAACATAACTGCGTCACACAATCGATCTACTGTCAATTAATCTTTTCAATTGAAGATCATGATTGAAGGGAAAGTATCATGCAACAAACTCCGCTGAAAATTCTGTACGTTTTATAAATACTGTTTAGAGTAAAACTATTTTTCAAGTATTGGTTTGTAGGGGTTCGATTGATTGGTTACACCTTGATTCCTATGACAAGGTGAGCTTGTAGACCATTAAGTCAAGGAGACCCAATCCAATGGCAAGTCCATGAATTCCAACTTCTGACAATTCATGATAAAGCGCGACTGCTAGCCAATGTCTTCGGAGAGTATTTGTCTTCACACCCAACCTGCTTTACCCTACTGGTGACGACTTCCCATCAGACCTCCAGGTAACTACCTACCTGCCAAGGGCCAGTCGCTAGTGAGCATCTCATTGGTATTCAGGTATTTGTCTGTGGGCACTTCATTGGTTATAGAGCTTCATCATGAGCTGACATCAGTTAGAGAACCATCAGAAAATCTGCAGGGAGTACTGCACAGGAGTTTCGTCAGCCTAGTTTGAGACTCTTTGAGATTCTCCTTGCTGAAGAGTCCCAAAATAGAAGGAAACATCTGTGCATTTCTCCCTCGCGGTTTTCCGATGGTTCTCTAACTGATGTCAGCTCATGATGAAGCTCTATAACCAATAAAATGCCCACAGACAAATACCTGAATACCAATGAGATGCTCACTAGCGACTGACCCTTAGCAGGTAGGTAGTTACCTGGAGGTCTGATGGGAAGTCGTCACCAGTAGGGTAAAGCAGGTTGGGTGTGAAGACAAATACTCTCCGAAGACATTGGCTAGCAGTCGCGCTTTATCATGAATTGCCAGAAGTTGGAATTCATGGACTTGCCATTGGATTGGGTCTCCTTGACTTAATGGTCTACAAGCTCACCTTGTCATTGGAAGTCCCTGCGTTGGAACCCCGGTGGGCATGTATTGCTGTAGAGTCGCGAACTAGGACAAAACAGCTGTCCAGTACTCCCTGGCTTGTTTTCCAATGGTTCTCATTATGATAAAGTCCTATACTGATACATCTGGCTGAAAATGAAGTCGTCCAGTTAAGAAATGTTTCTTCGCCGAAGACATAAATAGCTCTATATTCCTTAGGAAAATAAAAATAAAGAAGACAAACAAAACAAACAGTGGATGACTTACCAGCATAAGACCGCGGTACCATATCACCATAACCAACTGTAGTCATTGTTACTATAGCCCACCATAGACCAATTGGTATTGAAGTGAAATCATTATTTGGATTAGTACTCAACCGTTCAGCATAATAAATCAATGCAGCAAATAAGACAATAAATACACCCAAGAAAAAAATCAATAATGAAAATTCTTTCGCGCTTGCTTTAAATGTTAATATCAGTATTTTTAAACCAGATATATGCCTAGTCAACTTGAACAGTCGCATAACACGTACAATACTAAAAAATTCTACAATTGGTGATATAGATATCTCGATAGCATTATAACTTAATAATAAGGCTTCTGTATAAAAGCTTAGCAGAGCAGCTATATCAATAAGATTGATTAAATTCTTGACAAATTCTCTGTGATCCATAGACACAGTGAAACGAACAATTAACTCTAGTGTAAACCATAGATTACAGATACATTCAATATAAATGAATATTATACTCTTTTTAGGTCGTTTATTTGTTATTATTGAGTATTCATGTTGGGAGGAATAATTCCGCTGTTTAGGTGATAACGATGTATTTGTTACTGTGTAATGTTGTTGTTGTTCTTGATGTTTATATCGATTTTCCTCGTGGTAGGTGGTAGAAAATGATGTGAATTTGTTATTAGAATTATCATTATTGTTATTATTTATATTCATATTGTTCGCATTCCCATTAATCTCTGCGGTGACTAGTGAGGGCGTAAGAAATGTTGGCGCTGTATCCAAACAGTATGCCAGTATAGATAATATAATACAGGTGACGGATAAGAGAGCGATGAACTGAAAAAAAAACGTGAGAGAAAAAGAATGGAAAAAATAAATCAAGAAGCATGAATAATAGTCATTTCGAGTCGATAAAAGACACTTGTGATATATTTTTAATTTGAAAATACTACCAATTATTGCTTAAGAAAACAGAATGAATTAAGCTAACAAATATCAATCACTTCCTTATATAATTGGCTCTACTCCTCTAACGACAGAAGACAAGGGTCGGGCAATAGATCGTTTATTGAGAAAATGAAAAGATATTTACATATTTTTATCTACATTATTATTAACTTTGTTCTGACCAAATTGCAACTCTAAGCATAATCATCATCACAGAACAAAGCATGGAGTGGCAATCAAACCTCTACCTCGACTTCATAGACTTTGAGAAGGTGATCGACAGCGTTGACCTTGAAGTAATTTGGAAACTACTCGAGTACTACGGCGTACGGTGCCCAAATATTCATCAACCTTATTCAACAGTTGTACGACAACGGAACATGTCAAGTGATCCAAATGGAAAACTCAGCGAGGCGTTTGGAGTAAAACAGGAGTCAGACAAGGATGCTTATTATCACCAGTGATATTCCTAATTGTGATGAACTGACTGGATTATGCGTCAGACAGTGGGGAACGAGAAAACAGACTGACGTGAAGAACCTAGAAGACATGGATTTCGCGCGTGGATGATTTCTGTTTGATATCACTGCCACAGAATTGATATGTATCCCCATATATATATTTATGTGTGTGTGTATGTTGGTCTCTCTTTCTGTTTGCTCTCTTAGTCTGTGACCATTTCACTTGTGTGAACTTGTCTCCTTTAATAATGTGTATTCTCCAAAAATTATATTATATATAATATGAGTGTTTGTTGACAGTCCGTTGCTTGGTGACATATATCCATATTATATGTGGGGTTGTTGACATGTCTGCTATATTCGCTATGTATATTTGGATCGACACTTCATTATAATTAGCCATCCATGTTAAGACTGTCTAATGATTTATTCCCATGCTTGTCTGGAACATTCATATATATTTCGCATTCACAATCTTGTGACTTACTTACTTATTTTGGTGTGAGACCATTTTTTTCGTCTCCTTGTGTTTGGACAATAGAAGTATCATCGCAACCTAGTGGTCTTCTGATTTCCGCCTTCTCACGTCAGGAATATTAATTTCTCGACCAGTCCATAACAATAATTTAGCGACGAGTACATAACAATTTGGCGACGGGGAAACTAGAACATAACAAGAATCGAAGACTTACAAGCGAGAACCGACAAACTGGTCGAAGAAGCAGCCAGAGAAGACAGGACTCCAGATGAACATAGACAAGACGGAAGTGATGAAAATAATCAACCAACAACAACAACAGCAGCAACATCCAGCACCAATCAACATCAACGGGAGGTATTTGAAAGAGGTCACTTCATTCACTCACTGATCTAGGGAGCATTGTCTCAACTACAGGAAGTCGGAACGGACGAGGATGTTAAATCGAACGAGAATCGGGGGAAGGCGAGAAACACATTCATCAACCTGAAATCAATCTGAAAATCTTCGTCACTCAGTATCAACAGGAAAATTCAGTCGGATTTTCAATGCAAACGTCAAGTCAGTCAGTTCTTCTATATGGATCAGAAACTTGGCGGACGGGTCACAAAGAATATTTCCACCAACAGCCTGTTGCAGACCTTTATCAACCAACAACTGTCTTCCCTCTATACTGAAGATCAGATGGCCAAGCCCGAAAGAATCACCAACAAAAAACTATGGCTGGGAAAAAACAAAACAAGAACCAATCGCCAACCAACAAATATGCAGGAGAAAGTGGAGATGGATTGGACACTCGCTGAGGAGACCGCTGGGTGACATTGCGTGTCAGGTCATTGCTCGAGTGGAACCTGAAAGGGAAGCGGCGAGTTGGACGTCCAAGAGTGACATGGAGGAGATCGTGCGAAGAGGAGCTGAAACAGTATGGATTAACATGGATGCAGGTGAAAAGTACAGCAGAAGACAGAAGCAAGTGGAGACGTTAAGTTGAAACCCTATGGTCCACTAGGAACCCAAGGGAACAATAATAAAATTATTATTAGCGTTATTGCTAACAGAGAAGCAACGTTTTCTGATTGGTTATTTTCCTGCTGAAGGTCATTCTGCCATCTCTTTATGGCCATTTCTTAGAAGGTCAGACCATATATCTATGAATCGTATATGCACAGGTTAAGTCAGCTGTGAATGGTCGTTGAATTCCTCAAGGTTAGGCTTTGTTATTGTTTTTTCTCATGACCAAGATATGGGACGTAAACATTGGCGTCAAATGTAATTTTGTCTTGCAGACGGTTCTTACCACACCCCATTCAATTATATTTTTTGAGTCATAATTGTACCCATGGTGGGGTTAGTCAACAAGATATCTTTATTTCGAGGAAGGGGTCAAATATAATCACGACATTTAAGATCAGTGTAATCATAGAGGTGAGATTTAGTCGCAACGTCTGAGAATTGTCTTCTGAAGGGCTTATTAAGGCAGCTAAGTTGTGCTGTTTATTCACTAGTCAATCAATCAGTACTCAGGTCAAGAAATAAAAAAAAAGTGAAACTGCCTTGTTTAGCTACTCTTCTATTTGTATTTACCAGTTTAACTGCTTGTGTGGAGGTAGTTATAGTGGGCAGATGATCAGGCAAGCTCATGGTCGAACTTCTGAACACCTTTCATCTTGGTTTGGTAAAAATCCGAATGAAGCTGTTATACGCAGCACAATTCCATATCATCTCGTCCACCCATCCTCTCACATGGTCTACAAGTACGACGTTTGCATACATCAGAGGCAATCGAAGCTTCATTTGAACAAATCTAATCTGTGTGTTCAAAAGAAATTCGTGTTGTTTCTTTCCATGACATGGTCAATTACACATTGTGTATCAAGTTTTTACAAATAATTTTCCCTTCCCTTTTTAACTTTGTTATTTTACTATGATTAGAGTTCTAGCTAATTTAATTAACTTCTTTGCACCTGAGTGTTGTTACGTAAGACGAAAACAAAACTAAGTTAGGGTTATTGTTTACGTCATTAGAAAATGTTTCGAAAAAAGTGATGAATAATCAAATTGTTACCAGGGGGATGAAGATTAGTAGGTTTGGACATCCAGAAAAATAGGATGTTAATGTAGGAGCATGGAGACAAGTGCCTAAAATAAATTACGTAGTATCTCTATCTATCTATATATCTCTGTCTCAACTTCATTGACTTTGAAAAGGCCTTAGATGGCGTCAATCGAGAGGTGATTTGGTAACTACTTCGCTACTACAGGGTGCCATCGACAATAATACACCTCATCCAACATTTGTACGACAATGCTGCAAGCCAAGTAACATACACAAATGGAAACTCACGGAATCCTTCGAAGAAGTGAAGACGGGAGTAGGACAAGCTGACTGACTACAATTTCCAGTTGTTTTCCTGAATGAGGGCGGTAGACTGGATAATGCAACAAACAGCGACCGGGCAACGAGGAGACAGACATGAAATGGACCCACAAAACACATGGAGGTTCTGGACTTCACCGATGATATATGTCTGATTACCCTCAAACTTGAAGATATGCAAATGAGAAGCAACAGGTTGGCGATAGAAGTAGCACCCAGAGAATAAAGGACTTTAGGTGAACATCGAGAGAACAGAGGCGATGAAGAGACCTGGCCAACAGCAACAGACAACAACAACAACAACAGATAACACAACAATCAGCATGGATGGGAGCAGTCTGAAAGAAGCAAACTTTCCTACCTTCACGTAACGGATGTCAAGTATTGCTTGATCTAAATCCCACTGTGTGTCTCTTTGGTGTTTGAAACAATAGATGTTGGCTTTGAGTCGCCATGGGAACACCATCACTCACTTAGAAATTCAGACATATCTAGATGACCACTTCCAAATACAACGAAATACTCATTCCGGGTTCATTCGAGTCAGTGACAGTGTTCCCATCGATGCTGGAACCAAGTGCTCATAGTTTCAAACGCTGTGGCGTTATCCACGAAACCACTTGGACCACGACAGCCACCTCTTGTTCAATAGGTCTTATTAATTATCTAATTCAGTTTATATTTTCGCTTCGATTCATTGACCTAAGTGCTCGGTCTCAGGTCGACATGTCGGCTCCTTGTGCAGGTGGCCCAATAGCACGATTTAACCTAAATATAAATTAAATTAAATAATTAATAAGATCCATTTCACAAGGGGTGGGCTCTTCTGGCCCAAGTGGTCTGGTGAATAACAATTTGGAGTTTAAAACTACGGACAGAGGTTTCGAGCCTTGGTGGGAACACGGTCACTCACTGGGGAATGCAGGCACATCCAATGACGAGTCCCAAATAGGACGAAATGCACATCCTGGATCTCACCACTGCTAGTCACTATTCACCAGTTGACGTATATGTTCTATTTAATTACCTAAATTCTTGCAGTAGTGTTTAGCTCTACTGAACGAAATTTCATTGCAAGGTGGTGCTGACTACCTATCTAAGCAAAGTGGCTGTCATTGAGCTACTAGGCTTAATGGATAGCATACGCGTGCTGCGTCACGTGAATGTGATGCAATCGACTGTTGCGAGGATATTGATAAATGCAAGGTGTGATGAAAATCCAGACTACTGTTCTGTCGTTTTGTGTGATTCGATCACCAACATCATCACCGGATGAAATTACCTTGCCTTGTAATAAAATTTAGCATTCCTTCGAATTGACAGTCCTTATAAACTCAAAGTAGCCAGTTACACACAGTACAGTACATACGCAGGCGGTTGAAACATCAGTCGACGCATTCTATGTGGTAATTCTTTACCTGCACAGGCTTTACCTGTATTCTTTGATGGTTCAGGTGTAAGAGGCTTGCCAACAACGTCTCATATGGCTTGGGTTCAGTTCCATGCTGAGATACTCATAAACCTCGCCGCCTAGTCAGTAATAAGTCTCAAAAAGAGGGAACGTTGGACAGGAGGCCACAAACTCCACATTGCAGAAAAACACAAGCTCTTCAGGAACTTAAAGTTTAATTAAAGAATCCCTGTTTTCCAGTTAGTTAGAAAAGAAGGGGATGGCATTACATGATCAATGACAGCAGAAAGAAATTCATTAAATGACAACATCCCTTTAAGAAATACGGTAATAAGGTTATTTTTTCTATAGTTGGTTTGTAAGGGTTAATTTTGTTTTGACCAGTTGATCACGGATTGATATTATTTAGAGAGCCATTGAAATCAGCACTGGAGTACTGGACAGCTGTCTCATCAGCCTGGTTTGGGAATCATCGGTAGTAGACGAGTTTCAAACCCAGGACCTTCCGGTTATAAGGCTAACTCGTATACCATCAACCAATGGGACTAGATTTAGTGGCTCAGGAAGCAGTAAAAGTTAGAATTCATGAGCCATTGAATCAGTTCCATTGGCTGAATGGTATACGAGCTTGCTAGCCTTGTAACTGAAAGGTCCTGGGTTCGAATCCTGGCAGTGGGTGCGTACTGCCAAAGATTCCCAAACTAGGCTGATGAAACAGCTGTCCAGTGATTCCTGTGGCTGGTTTTCAATGGTTCTGTCTAACTGATATCAATCCATGGTTAACTCGTAAAAATAAGATTATTTACTCACCTTAGCTCCAATTGACGAATGTGGCAGCTCAAATAGCGCCCATACTTTAGGTCGATATTTTTGCCATGTGTTCAATTCATTACAGGTATACTCTTCTTCTAAACCAAAACGTTTATATAAACTCTCCGGGGTATAATCATCATTATCCATGTCAACTTTATCTAAAATTTGTAAAGTTGCCTGTGTATCACGATGTGCTGTATACGTCATCCAACAGCATGGTTCAACCTAAATGTAATAAATGAAAATAAATAAATAAATAAATAAAAGAACAGAACAAATTGTTCAGGGAAGGGAATTGTTTCCAACGATTCCATTTTCCTATTTACCTGTACAATATCATTTGTATACAATTATTTTTCTCTAAACATTGGCGTAAGAAGACTGATGAGTTATCGTAATCATATTTGGATAAAGCAATAATGAAGACGTAATTAGAAAATTTAAACCACCTTTTTGCGTTCAAAAACAATTCATAACATTAAAATACTTTCCCTGGTAAATTTTGTTTTAATACCAGCCCGGGTGGATGTACTATTATCTCTGTTGTTTGGTTTAGTGATCTTCATGGTTAATTTTGACCTTCAATATGTCCCTCCTTTTAACTTGACCTAAGTAGGCGATTTTCTCACCTCTTAACTCTTTATTAATTTCATATATATTCCTATCCGCGTCGGTGGTATAGCGGTTAGGACGCTCGCCGACCATGCATATGGTCCGGGGTTCGACCCCCGGCCGGCGCACTCCTTTACCTCACTGAGCCAGAATAATGCTGGTAAAGAGGAAAGGTTGGGCATGAGGCTAGCAACCCCATCCTGTAAAATCTAAACACTGCTACAGAAACTTCAAGCCACTAGCTTGGAGCCCTATGTTCCACTGGGAACGTGAAGGAAAAATTATTATTATATTATATATATTCCTATGACAAGTCCGTGTGTGATTGATCAGATTGTTCGAAATGTGTTGCACAAATACAACATTACACAATTTAGAAAAATTACGTCTTCTTATTGCTTTATATAAATTCATAAAGGGAACACTAAATGTTTTAAATTTTTTAAAGAGAAGGCTCCCTCCACACTCTATCAAAAGTTTAAATGAACTTGTTAACCTTAGGTGTGACAACGTGAAGTTTTACAAATTATGTATTAAAAATCATTCCTTCCCGAGGCAATTGTATAAAACTTTGAAATTCAGTAAATTACAGCCAAATATCTCTAATCTTGTTCGTCTGACAAAGTCACATATCGAAAATGTTGGACAAAATGTTGTTCTTCATACCAATGCATTACTTATTTTATCTGAATTATCAATGATATGCCACATGAAATTCCTTCAGTTTTGTAAAGATGTTACTCAGAGAACATAGACAAATACACAAAATAAGTGGAAGATTTCACCTGATGATCGTAACCACGTAGATTCGATTTTCTGGTGAATCCTGATAAGTGCGATACAAATCTTTATGATATTACTCTATCTACTTATCGGAAAGAAGCTTTCTTTCCTGGACTTGAATTTTGTCTTCCTCGCATGCAGTTTACGGATTTAGCCATCCGTGTGCGTCGGTGGCACAGTGGTTAGGACTGTCGCCGACCATGCACATGGTCCGAGGTTCGATCCCCTGCCAACGCACACCTGATATCTATGGTCGGTCTGCAAAATTTGAGCTACCGATATCCATGCTGAAAATTCCATACTTGTACAAAAAATACAGTGTGGAATCAAGCTGTAATAAAATAAAAAATATGACCAATTCAAACCTCTTGTCGTCACATCCGATGAAGATCGGGATTGGTTTAAGGCCAAGCTGGTGGATATAGCTCACCAGTTTTTAAATAACAATTCAAAGGAGAAAAGTATTTTGAATCGTAGCATTTCAAAGTCTTGAAGGAACTACGAGAAAACTGTAATATAATTATTACGAAACCTGATAAAGGTTTTGGAGTCGTCATTATGAATAAAAGTGACTACAATTCTAAAATGATGTCTATTCTTGATGATAAAAGCAAATTTAGTCCTGATCCCTCCTCAAAAGACATTCAGCTATCGCAGGGCACACTGACAGCCAATCAAGTGAAGCTTCATTGTCTACATTGCATTACCTCCAGTTAAACAGATTTGACCTCACATCAAGAATAATGTCCATTTTTGAAGTCACCTCGAGAAATTCTGGAAACTATATGTTTGGTGAGAGCAGGCTGCTAGCCGATTGGTTGACATTAATCTACGTCAATGTCTAGGTCACTAATATGGGCTGTGAGAAAATATGAACAAGGCTGTTTCAACAACCAGTTACAGCAAACTTAAACGTGGGGAAATATGATTCGCAGATAGATGGCTCCACTTTCCGAGGAACTCGGAAACAACCAATCAGAAGACTGCGTTTGTCTACTTGACTAGGCTATAATAGTGTATGTGAAATTCATATAAATACGTGTTGATTTCCGTAATAAAACGGTCTGTTGCCAGTCCTTGTCTTCTGTTGTTACATATGTAGTAGACAAGTCGTCATAATCCTATGTCAAACCTATGATTTGACCATTTCTATTTTTATTCTTCTAAAGTCCTACACGTCAGTGAACTAATTGGCAGAGAGACCCCATTCATCTATAGACTGAACAAGAAACATCTAGCGATGGATAAATTTGATGGTGAAATATTGAAATTTAACCGAGTGGAATGGTTGAATATCTGAACACTACTCGCTATGGTTGATCTATGTGATGAAAGGTGAATACCGAAGACGAAGGAGAATATAGACTTCTGTCTGTGAATACATCTTCTTATGAGTTAGTCAAGTTAGTCAGTAGAATCAGTGAGTGATCTATGCCCTCAAGTTATTCATGAGGCTAAATTCAGTCAATCTTAACGTTTGCGTTTTCATTAAACCAAGTATTAGCGTGAACCACAGATTCGGAAACAATTTTCGGGCATAAAGCCTCCTCGGTTTTTATCTTTCCAGTTGATTTCATTCAATGTTCAGTTGTTTTCGATTTCATTGCCTTATATCACCACCACCTCATAGCAATTTTAATATTTTGGCATCATTTGACCCAATTTAAATCTCTTAATACCAATTTACCTCTTCTTCTAATAAGGTTTTGTGAATCTACACTTCATCAATTTCACCTCTAATGCTTTCAAACTAGTGTTAATTAATTTTACCGAACGAAGAATATCCTGTTCGATAACCTGGTATTCATCATTACGTTCTACAGTTATATATACATAACAGTGAATGAATGAATTAGCATTATTTATCACATTAATAGTGTTTAAATAACATCGAATCAATAATAGTATCAAAATCGTATTGGTTAATCATTGCAGTTGAATAAGCGTATTATAATTACGCATTAAGTCTAATAAGCCATAATCAGGGTGTACACATAGAAACTAGGAAAAATGTAGAATTAGGTAGGAACTTCGAAGAGTTATGAAGATTTAAGTGGCCCACAAACACAATTCAGACTAGCAGTCTCTCAGAATTAATAGCTTGAACTTCAGCAAAGTAAAGAGAATGGAAGAATGTTGTTTCTTTGCCTTGAAGATTACCTTATTGAATAACTTTGTTGAGATGGAATGTTCAGTGTTGACAGGGTGTCTAATTATCGAAGTCATTAGAGATCCAAAACTACCTTTCTCTACATTTCTTCAACCATTTTGGACAGAGTGAACAACGTAACTATCTCTAAAAGAACAGGTGAACTGATATATGCATATATGTGGAGTTTCAGGCTTTGGAGGATTAGTGGACGATTGACGAACACTATTCTTAGCACTGCTGAGAAAAAATATTCTTCTCTGAGATGATGAAACGTCACTCTAATGGATATCGCGGGTTAAGCATCCCTTGAAATCAAGGTTCATATGAAGTTTCTTTTGTTATGAATAAAGTTTGATGTTCTTGCCAGTGAATCTCTGTAGGTATTATTTTTGATGAAGATTTCTTTCAGGAGGTCTAGTTCCCCTCTAAGAGTGCGATAGCTACAGATGTAAGGAATATAATTAGATCTCGTTTTCGTTCAAAAGATACTCAACTGTCGGAAGTTGTCAGTTGACGGTTCTATGTGGGTCTCCTATGGACCAGCCTTTCTAAGTTTCCGTCGGATTTTTATTGTTAATTTAACATGGGGAAGAAGAAAAGGGATTTCGGATTTGTTTTCTATTTCAGGAGTGAATGTCACTGCCTGATAGCAATTACTGACTAACATTACAATTACTGTCAGAAATGATGAGAATATCATCCTCGAACTTTAGATATAGTTGAAATTTACTAATAGTCGACTTTAAGGGACTGTTCTTGAGGCTTGATTGCATGAGGGTTATTTATTATTGGTATAATAATTGTATGCGATAGAAAAAGGACTGGATATATACATGGTTAAAATGACTTTGTAAGTATTATTCAAAAAGGCGACTCTCTCGTCTATGTTGAAAGCTGCATGTCAAATGTATAATAAATGATCATTTTCCCAAGAAAACCGAAAAACATGAAACAGTATATCAAATAATAGATTAAGGTTTTGAATAAAACGTATATGGAACGATTTCACACTTCAAAGACAGATAGATAGATGGGCAGTTGAAGATACTTTCAACACTTTGCTGATTTCCAAGTATTGATTTTGTAGGGATTGAATTAGATTGGATGGAGGATTTCATCATAAGCTGACATCAGTAAGAGAACCACTGGAAAACCAGCCAGAGTACTGGACAGCTGTTTCCCCTGCCCTAGTTTGGGACTCTTTACCGGTACGCACCCACCGGGGTTCGAACTCAGGACCTTCTGGGTACAAGGCAAGCTAGCTCGTAGACCATTCAGCCACTAGGATCCAATCCAACGGTCAACCCATAAATTCTAACTTTTGCCAATTCATGACATAGGGCAACCATTTCGCAAAGTCTTCTTCGATGAGTTACTGTCTCATCTTCAGTCTGCTGTACCCTACTGGTCACTTTGCTGATTGGCGAGATATTTATTCCCTTATTCTTGGATCAATAAATTCAACAAAGAGTCATCTCTTCATTCAACTTCTTCACTTCCAAGTTATTTTTTATTACACAGACAATAGCATTAGGTGACTCTAGAAACGTTGCGTCCACTGATGGAATCCCTGTCAGCCATACACGTTGTTCAGGTGAGACTGCTGACCGACTCCATCCTAAGCTTCACTTAAAATAGTCAGCGATCCGGAGACAGGGGATAGGTCAGGCCACCTGAC